CCAGGATCCGCCAGGATCCAATAGGATCCACGAGGATCCAGTAGGATTCACAGGATCCACCAGGATCCGAGGATCCAGGATCCGCTTTTTCCCCCTTGAAGATAAGACTCAGGCCCATACTCAATGCGAGATATATGTAATAGCTCAGTTTTTTCACTTTATTCTTCAACGCTCGTTTACAATCGTGTTTCATAAAACGCTGCTAGAACCAAAAGCCGACTGAAGATAACAAAAAAGAATAAAATTAGTTTCACAGTATTGATCGTCATAAACAGCAGTGAATGTTGTCTAGATTTTGAAATCATTTTCCGTATATAATGTATTTCAATCAAGCGTGCATGATCTTTGGGTAATATCTGTCATATATATGATATAATATTTTGAAGTATTTTTTCTGCTTCAATATAGTCTAATTTTCTGTTTAGATAAAATAGAGTTATATTTTTATAACATAATGGCAAATCTGGATGATTACAAGTTAAAACACTTTTTCATATGTTTAATGCTTGACTGTAATAGTTGTGACATGTACTATCATCATCATGATTGTTTTTACCATAATAAACTTCACCAATAAGATTTAAACACTTTGCTACATCACGATGTTGTAAATCATCAAATGTTTTCTTATATATATCAAGTGCTTGCGTAAAATAATTTAATACCAAATCAAAATTTAATAAATCCAAATAGTCTTCATCTATATTTTTCAATGTGTATCCCAAATCAACATGATCATTTAAGTTAGCCTTCTCTATCAACTTCAATACTATGCAAAATGTTTCAAAGCTTCATAATATTTTTTTGTCTATAAAAGCACTTTCCAATGTTATTGATTCTCATACCCATATCCCTATAATTATCATTGCCCTGTAATACGCGTCTAGCTACATCTAAACTTTCTTTAAAATCTCTCATAGCTTCTGTATATTGACATTTTTTATAATCAGATTTACCAATATTATTTGTGTTCGCGCTAAGATCAATATGATTATCAGTAGGGAAAATTCTTTTGTCGCGTTCATACGACTTCATTTGATAGTATAATGCTTCATCATAATATCCTTTATGATAATCAGAGATGGCAAGTCATTTTTTCAAGTCATTTCAAAAAATCTTCATACATTTTCTCATTGGAAGAGTATGGCCATATGATGTCTTCTGAGAGTATCCCCGGAAACTTGATTATGTCCTATGGGTAAGAGGTAGATAGATATATAGGTATAGGAGGTATAGGAGGTATAAAGGTATAGCAGATATACTACCAACAACAATATGGCTGCAACTCGTATTTTTGATGTAACTTTTGAAAGGAAGAAGATTGAGAGGTGCGGTTTTCACCATTGGAAAGAGGAAATTAAGACGCATCGAATCATACGTTATTGACTATCGATTTAGTTTTTCTCAAGTATTCAATTTAACGTTTTCTGGAACAACGGTTTTCATAGCAGAATACAAGCAGTTCTCAACTATTTAAAATTTATGCAAAGCAACAGGTGACGATTCATAAAACTGTGCAACACTATGATTCTTGGCTTCAATTATTTAGGAGCTATGGGTACTGTACGCGGAACTAGAAGCCGCTTTAGTTTTAACAGTTCTTGTGAAACATAGAGCTTTTTTCTCCTGAGAGTGTGGGTAATTTATTCATACTAACACCCATATCCACACCATCCAATTCAAATTTTCCACTCTCAGGTTTCAACCCGAAAACGCTCTGAACAATCATGATTCTCTAAACATAACGCAAACATATCATTGCAGGAGGTGAGAATGATGCAAAAAGGAGTTCCATCGATAGTCACTAACACAAATGCACACTCACCGACAAGCGCCGCCGGTATGGGTGCGGCCAAACGAGTTTCACCAAACACCACTTAGATAAAAACATACCCACACACAAACACCACAGGTGAGGGTACGGCAAAAGAAGCTTCACCAAATAGGACTTACATTAAAAAAATACTCACACACAAACGCCGCAGGTGAGGGTGCCGCGAAAGGAGTTTCACCAAATACGACTTACATTAAAAAAATACTCACACACGAAGGCCGCAGTGTGTGGGTGTGGTGTGTGGGTGTGGGTGGCGTGCTGGTGGCGTCTGCGTGTGGCTGTGGGTGTTGGAGTGGGTGTCGGTGTTGGTGTCGGTGTAGGTGTGGATGTGGGTTTGAATCACCTCTTTACCCACACCCACACCCTACATATGGCAACGCCATCGGTCCAATACACGACGCCAGAACTTCGAATAATTTGTTAGGATCAGGCATCTGAAACGCAAAACATGTATTCTTATATTCAATTGATTGTACCTGCCGTTTAAAACGGTTACAAAAATCGTGTAGACTTCAAATAACACATATCAATTATGAAGCACCAAAGAGATTAACATCTGTACATATAAGCATCAATATACCTCCTATACCTGCTATACCTCTTATACCTCCTATACCTATATATCTATCTACCTCTTACCCATAGGACATAATCGAGTTTCTGGGGATACTCTCAGAAGACATGTAATCAGTATGGCTCTAATTTTAATATGGCTAAATTCAGCAATATTCAGGCTACAAAATGATATATTATGGTCAAAGCTTTTCTTTACCAAAAGCGCCGTAATATCTCTAAAACACCTTGACTTGATGAAAATGACTTGGCTTAATCAGGTCAAGTCAAGTCATGGTGTTTTAAAAGTATTACAGCTCTTCTCATGAAGAAAAATTTTAACCATAAAATATCATTTTGTAGTCTGAACATTTTTGAATTTAGCCACATTGAAATTAGAGCCATGCTCTTCACATAAGAAAAGGTATGAAGATTTTTTGAAATGACTTGAAAAAAATGACTTGCTCATCTCTGACGATAATGAACCATGCACATATCGTTATAATATTCAGATATGTCAGAATGATCGTCGGTTACCGAGTTTTCAATGTATTCGTATGATTTTTTAAAATATTCTAAAGCTAAATCATCTTGTCCTCTATGATAATATGTAATACCAATTCTGCTTAATATGTACGCTTTAAGTCTTTTGTTATTGTTACTGAGATCATTTTCAATTGTCCAAAAAGCTTTCAAATAATAAACCAACGTAGTATCGAATTTACCTTGAAAATCATATGTATAACCTATATAGCTCAATATTCTCCCAAGTTTGCTAGGAGAAGATGATTCAATTTTGATACATAAATCATAAGCATGCTGTAAATACTTTTTTGATAATTCAAACTCACTTATGCCAAGAAATACTCGTCCTAATCCTCGATAGATGTCAATGATAGTAGGAGCATTTTTATCAGATTGAATAGTTAATAAATTTTCAAAATAGTAATGGCATTTACTATATTCTCCTACATCATACAGTAGATTACCAAATAAAACTAAAACATCTAGTTTACCATCGTTCATTTCATTTCTTTGGAAATTAACATATTCTTTAGCTATTTCTACAGCTTTTCCCGAAGGAATCATTTTGCACATCCAACATTTCTTGTCATCATTATAGAAAAATTTTTCTATTTCAAAAACTGTTCCAAGATCAAATAAAAATTCTTCTTCGTCTCGAAGTTGACTGTAGCATGTAATATTAGCTACAATACATGATGAATGCAAATTTGTATTGTAATTAATTTCAAAAATAATCGACTCTAAATTGTTGCTATTAGTATTAGGATTAACAACATCAGTACTGACATACATTTCTGTTACATTTCGATTTTCGTTTGTTGAAAGAAATTCGTTGGTTGATATCAGGTGATCAACACTATTTTTTAGGCGTTAGATTTCATCTTGTGTCTATTTCGTTCCTCGATAAAGTTTCAATACTCTATAACATTCCAATACAATTGGATCATTATCAGCTAATTGTGAACATAAATCAATAAGAAAAAAACGAAATGTATACAGCGATTCGATGTCTTCTGCTCGTAAAGCTTTATTTATTAATTTAAATATAAAAATATCCTTTTTATACCATTCTTCTGCATTAAGAATCGTGGGTGGGTGTGGGATTTGGGACGAGGGTGTGAAATTTGTGGCATGGAGCGCGGGTGTGAGGTTTGTGGCGTGGGCGAGGGTGTGAGGTTTGTGGCGTG